GATCCACGGTAGTCAGTTTAAGGTGGAAGCTATGGGGGTTTGAAGACATAACAATGGAGTCAGATAGAGCATTCCAGGCAGAAGATAATGCAAAAGGCATGAAACTAGCTAGACTGGTCAACAAATAGATCTTTTTCCGTATTCCATTGAGGACCTGTATACTGCACGAGTCGAAATATTTACAGACCCCTCCCATCCTGGACAGAAATTGTTTCAACCCCTATCCTCAAAACGACATTATAGAGCACTGCACACCAAAACAACTAGACACAAGAACAGTTTTCTCCCAAATACCATCACTCTGCTAAACAAATATTCCCTCAACACTGTCAAAGTATTCACTAAGGCTGCATTACTATTACTATTAGTTTTCTCATCGTTCCTATCACCCATCTCCTCCCACTTATGACTGCATGACTGTAACATTGTTGCTTGTATCCTTACGATTGATATTGATATTGTTTCCTAGTATGCTTCGATTGCTTATTTGTGCCCTATGACTATCATTAAGTGTTGTACCTTATAATTCTTGATGAATGTATCTTGTCTTTTTATGTACACTGAGAGCATATGCACCAAAGACAAATTCCTTGTGTGTCCAATCACACTTGGCCAATAAAGAATTCCATTCCATTCCATTCCATTCCATTTTATTCCAGAAATAATCTTCCTGCTGCTTGGATCTATTTTCTTGCTGTGTCACAACATCTATGCTAATTACAAGGGTTACCATGGACAAATTCCTTCCTGGTTTTATATTCTTTCTATCCTGCTCACCACCAAACGTGTTGAACATTTACACAAAAGATCCTTTATTCCAGTTAAAGACTTCCATCCATGTTCTTGCAATATTTCTGTCCATTTTCCAGACATTTTCCAGGGGATCGTACTCTACCTCATTTCAAGGAACCTAAAAAACCAATATATGTTAGCCAAAAAATCTATAGTTAAACATTGTGAGGAAATATGAGAAAAACCTGATGTTTTATGCTTTAATTTTTTACCTGTACAGTCCCTCAGTGAGAGTAATGAGCAGTTTATAAATTTGATAACTAAATAAATGTTCAAAGATAGACAAAGAAAGGAGCTCGGTTGAAGGACAGATCCCAGGGTTGAAGGTGATTTCCGAAAGAAAAATGTATTGTTGGCCAGGTGAACGGAGAAGGAATTACGAGGATAAATACATGTGAGAGGGAGAATCACTATTGTTAAGGGAATCAGTTGAAAATTGCAGAAAACTGTCTCTCCATTTAATACTTTTTCTCCTGTTTTTGATTGGCTTCCCTTCTGCCTCTTGTCACTGTGTCTGTGAAGGCACAGAAGTAGACAGCAGAGTCCTTCAACCGGATGGTTTGTTTCTCCATGTTGAAAGTCCCCTTTTGACCAGTTTTATTGTGAGTTGCCTGGAAACCTTGGGCCTTGTTGTCAAATTCATTCAACAAGATCTCTAGAGGCTGACCAGAATGCTGAATGTACCAAAATGGGTAATTTATGCTATTGGATGGTGCTTCATAGGAACAATGGAGAAAAATAGGTTGTCCTTCAGTAACAGTCACAATGCCAGATGTTTGCTTCACCGACTGTCCTGTGCTTCCTCCTGGACAGAAAAGAATGGAGAAGGCATGAGTTTAGTTAGAGTAATACGACAAATAGGACCTTCTCCCTCTTTTCAGAAACAACCTTGTTGCTGCTTGGACTTACTTTTTTGGTGTCTACACACATTAATGCTAACTATGAGGGATAATCTGGAAAAATTCCTCCTCGGCTTTATATTCTTTCCATCATGTCCACCACCAAGCGCACTGAACACAAGCACTCACACAAACATGCAATCTCTATTCCATCCAATTCCATCCATCGTTGTTCTTGAAATTCCTTGCAGATGGTTTAATACCAATGTCCCAAATATCTTCCAGGGGATCCTATTCTACCAGAGTTCAAGGAACCTGAACAACTCAAGATATGGCCAGTCAAAACGTATAAACTAAAGTAGGTAAAGGTAAAGGTTACCCTTGCACATATGTGCTAGTCGTTCCTGACTCTAGGGGACGGTGCTCATCTCCATTTCAAAGCCGAAGAGCCAGCACTGTCCGAAGACGTCTCCGTGATCATGTGACAGGCATGACTAAACACCAAAGGTGCTTGGAATGCTGTTACCTTCCCACCAAAGGTGGTCCCTATTTTTCTACTTGCATTTTTTACCTGCTTTCGAACTGCTAGGTTGGCAGAAGCTGGGACAAGTAATGGGAGTTCACCCCACTACGCAGTACTAGGGATTCGAACCACTGAACTGCCGACCTTTCGATCATCAAGCTCAGTGTCTTAGCCACTGAGCCACTGCATCCCTAGTGAAATAGTGAAGAATAAATACGTACTTAAAAGTGAGATGACGAAGATGATGAACAGATGCCACAGCCACATTTTTCCAGATAAGGAATGGGTTATTATCACCCCTTTGCAGGACTTCAAGGATGGTACGGTCACCTTCAGAGCTTCCCTGCCAACTTGGCTGTGAAAGATTATACAACTCTTCTCGTTCACAAATAAGTTTTCTTACGGCATCTAAATTTGACGGTAAAAGGAAGACAAACCACAGGATATGGTTCAAAGAGCGTATTTCCTGCAGAAGGTACTGTGTGTCATCTGATAACACTCAGGTTGACTCAAGATTGCCACCTTATGTTGTAAAGTGGGTGTAAGAAGACAGATGAGTTGAAGGAAGGATCCCAGTGTTAAACGGCCTTGGTAAGGACCCTCCCTAGTATCTTGGCCCATAAAAGTCAATGGGGGAGAAATGTTCATTTAGAATTGTAAGATTCTACCCTGTTTCCCCCAAAATAAGACATCCCCTGATAATAAGGCCAATCGGGCTTTTGAGCGCATGGCAAAAAGGCTAGGGTTTATTTCAGGGTTCAAAAAAATATAAGACAGGGTCTTATTTTGGGGAAAACATGGTATTAATGTAGCCTTATAATAAAATAGAATTAGTTCCTCTGGGACCACCTTTCAAGCAGTAGGCAAAAGAGAGAGGAAAAATAAGAGAAGGCTGCCCCAAGAATTCTGATGCTGAAAAAGGGGGAGTTTTCCCATGTTCCCTTTTAATCTGATCCTGCTCTTTTCCTCAAAGCAACTGCTCTCTAGCTGCCAATCCATCGAATAACAGCAATAGCATCCAGATTAATTTAAGTAAAATAAAGCACCCCACTTTACAGCCCTCTCTAAGTGGTTTATAGAGTCAGCATATTGCCCCTACAATCTGTGTCCTCATTTTACCAACCTGGGAAGGATGGAAGGCTGAGTCAACCTTCAGCCAGTGAGAATAATATAATAATAATAATAATAATAATAATAATAATAATAATAATAATAATGATGATGATGATACCTGGCCATCAAAATTACGTGATTATGGATGAAACATGTAACAGTGATACCCATTGTCTGTGATGCCTAGGAGGAGGAGGAGGACAAGAAGAGAAGAAGAAGAAGAGAAGAAGAAGAAGAGGAGGAGGAGGAGGAGGAGGAGGAGGAGGAGGAGGAGGAGGAGGAGGAGGAAGAGGAAGAGACAGAAGAGGAAGAAGGAGGAGGAGAAGGAGAAGAAGAAGGAGGAGAAGGAGGAGGAAGAGGAAGAGGAAGAAGAAGAGGAAGAGGAAGAAGAAGAAGAAGAAGAAGAAGAGAAGAAGAAGAAGAAGAAGAAGAAGAAGAAGAAGAAGAAGAAGAAGAAGTTGGTACATGGTTGATAACTAGGACACTGACAGCAACCCGTATCAACCATTAGCACCAGTCAATGGTATTTGTGATGAATTTTTGAATATTCAGTTGACTGAGTTTGATGTTTAATGGATAAAGTATATAATAATATTGCCACCTGGCCATCAAAATTACGCAATTATGGATGAAACATGTAACAGTGATACCCATTGTCATCGGGGCACTTGGTACCCTGTCCAAGAATTTTATAAGATATATCAACAACTTGCAGTTTCCTGCAATAACACCAGTGGAACTGCAAAAAAACTGTGCTACTTGGAACATCGTACATCTTAAGAAGGTACTTGGTTGATACCTAGGATGCTGGCAGCAACCCGTATCAACCATTAGCACCAGTCAATGGTATTTGTGATGCATTTTTGAATGTTCAGTTGACTGAGTTTCGTGTTTAATGAATAAAGTATACAACAACAACAACAACAACAACAACAACAACAACAACAACAACAATATCAAGGTCAGGACACAGCACCACTATCGCAAAAAGGGGAATATTTCCATCTCCACTGATACAGGGCCAAGACACTTCTTCCATTATCACACACCTAATTCTGTTGAATTTTGACCCAGCAAAGCCAGGCAGGTGAAAATCAGGTGGTTTGGCAAAGAGATCACCTAATGGTCAGACCACAAGAAGATACCTTGGACAATGCATTCCTCTCTCCAGGCATTCTGGAGTAAAAGGTAAGGGAATAGATGGTTTTCCGAGCTGGTCTATGGGATTTCAATGTTTTGATGGGCTGCACATTGTCCTGGTGAATAAGGAGGGCCTTGTTGTTCAGAATCCTTAGCCATAGGCAAATGAGAGCTTCATGTCTTCTACTATGGGGAGGTATGATATTGCTAAGTATTGGTTAACCTGTGTACAGGAGTAGCCTGTAGATTGATTGATTGATTGATTGATTGATTGATTGATTGACTGATTTAGTCAAACATGTACGAGATAACAGGTATTAACAGGTATAAAGCCTGACTCCATTTTTGTAGAGAAAGGTACTTTTACTGAGTATGAACTGAATGCAACCAAAGAAAAGCAAGGTCTGAGGTAATAGGTGTGGAAATCACATATAGAAAGCATCGCTAAAACCTCCCCCCAAGGGTCCAGTCAGCATTATCCAATCCACATCCTCCCAAGTGGTCATGTGGGGTGCAGCTTCCAATGGCTCCATCCTTCTGGTATGCCAGGACAGTTGACCTTGACTGAGTTGTGGCCCCGCCCTCTGAGCCTGTCCCATCGAGGAAGAAAGCTCCAAGCATGAGGAAGAGGAGTCAGCCAGGCCTCCCTCTCCAGGCCCCTCCCCTCTGGCACTGTCTCAGGTGCCGGCCGAGGGAGAGGAGATTAGCAGGGAGACAGGTGGCTCGGATGAGAGCGGAGGAGAAACATCATTCCTGGACGCACGCCTCCGAAGGCGTGATAAACGATTGCAGCAGCTCAGGAGGCGTGCTAGGGATTAGAACTGAGTCACTGGACCACACCCCAGAGACTATATAATAGAGGGTGGTGGCCAGTGATCCCTGTGACGAACAAAACTAACCTTGGATAGTCACTAAAGCCTCGTCCGGAACTGCTGAGAGAAATATTATTCTGATTGGACTTTTTGTACGCTAAGTATCTTATCTTTCTGTTTTGTGGAAATAAACACACTTGGCAGACGGTGTGTAAATCGCTGCCAAGTTGGAGATAAGACCTGGGTGTGTGCCAAAGTGTTTCCTTAACCTTCGGCTGGCTGTGTTTGTGTGTGTGTGTGGACGGGGACAGATTAGACTGGTTATCAGCGCACCTCCCAGCTGCAGAGAAAGCGCTGAGGAAAACCTTCTCCAATTCACTCCCTGTTACAAGACATCTCCACCAGCTCACTTCCCCCCTCCCAACTACCCAGAGAGCTCCCCCCTCCCCCGTTACAATGGCAGCCATAGCAAGCAAGCAATATAAAAGCAGAGGCTGACAGGTGTAAGCATAAACATGGACATGAGCACATGAAATGAGTACAAATAAATGGGGACAGTAGGTCAGGGACGGTAGGCACGCTGGTGCACTTATACACGCCCCCTTTACGGACCTCTTAGGAATGTGGTGAGATCCACGGTAGTCAGTTTAAGGTGGAAGCTATGGGGGTTTGAGGATAACAATGGAGTCAGGTAGAGCGTTCCAGGCAGAAGATAATGCAAAAGGCATGAAGCTAGCTAGACTGGTCAACAAATAGATCTTTTTCCGTATTCCATTGAGGACCTGTATACTGCCCGAGTCGAAATATTTACAGACCCCTCCCATCCTGGACATAAATTGTTTCAACCCCTATCCTCAAAACGACATTATAGAGCACTGCACACCAAAACAACTAGACACAAGAACAGTTTTCTCCCAAATACCATCACTCTGCTAAACAAATAATGCCCTCAACACTGTCAAAGTATTCACTAAGGCTGCATTACTATTACTATTAGTTTTCTCATCGTTCCTATCACCCATCTCCTCCCACTTATGACTGCATGACTGTAACATTGTTGCTTGTATCCTTACGATTGATATTGATATTGTTTCCTAGTATGCTTCGATTGCTTATTTGTGCCCTATGACTATCATTAAGTGTTGTACCTTATAATTCTTGATGAATGTATCTTGTCTTTTTATGTACACTGAGAGCATATGCACCAAAGACAAATTCCTTGTGTTTCCAATCACACTTGGCCAATAAAGAATTCCATTCCATTCCATTCCATTCCATTCCATTTTATTCCAGAAATAATCTTCCTGCTGCTTGGATCTATTTTCTTGCTGTGTCACAACATCTATGCTAATTACAAGGGTTACCATGGACAAATTCCTTCCTGGTTTTAGATTCTTTCTATCCTGCTCACCACCAAACGTGTTGAACATTTACACAAAAGATCCTTTATTCCAGTTAAAGACTTCCATCCATGTTCTTGCAATATTTCTGTCCATTTTCCAGACATTTTCCAGGGGATCGTACTCTACCTCATTTCAAGGAACCTAAACAACCCAATATATGTTAGCCAAAAAATCTATAGTTAAACATTGTGAGGAAATATGAGAAAAACCTGATGTTTTATGCTTTAATTTTTTATCTGTACAGTCCCTCAGTGAGGGTAATGAGCAGTTTATAAATTTGATAACTAAATTAATGTTCAAAGATAGACAAACAAAGCAGCTCGGTTGAAGGACAGATCCCAGGGTTGAAGGTGATTTCCGAAAGAAAAATGTATTGTTGGCCAGGTGAACGGAGAGGGAATTGCGAGGATAAATACATGTGAGAGGGAGAATCACTATTATTAAGGGAATCAGTTGAAAATTGCAGAATCCCCCTGTCTCTCCATTTAGTACTTTTTCTCCTGTTTTTGATTGGCTGCCCTTCTGCCTCTTGTCACTGTGTCTGTGAAGGCACAGAAGTAGACAGCAGAGTCATTCAACTGGATGGCTGTTTTCTCCATGTTGAAAGTCCCTTTTTGCTTGTTTTCAATGTGAGTAGCCTGGAAGCCTTGGGCATCATTGCTGAAATTGGGCAACAAGATCTTCAGAGCCTGACCAGGATGGTGAATGTACCAGAACGGGTAATTTATGCCACTAAATTGTGCTTCATAGGCACATCTGAGATAAAGAGATTGTCCTTCAGTAATGGTCACAACGCCAGATGTTTGGTCCACTGTCTGTCCTGTGCTTCTTCCTAGAAAGAAGATAAATGCAGAAGGCATGAGTTGAGTTGAAGAGCT